ATTCCCATCCAATTAGATTGAATTTGGTATTGATGACGTGAAAAATAATAATGGTAACTCCATTGAAATGATTCAAAACTAAAGTAACGAGACAATTTTTTAAAATGTAAGGAGTAGAAAGTACAGATATTTGTGTAAAAATGTAAGGAGTAGAAGTAAAAAGTCGCCATAAAAATAAGTAGTAAAGTAAAGTAAAAATATCAGAAAAATCTACTTGAGCACAGTAATGAAGTATTTGTACTTCGTTACTTCCCATCTCTGGTCAGTAGTAGCAGAGGGTTTATACTGCTAGAATCACTGATAGTAGTTAACTGTAGCTAACTCAAATTCGCAGTCATTTTTGTTTAGATTGTTGGAGGTGCTGGGCAAAAACAATGCCTTGGTGTATGGAGCCATTTCATTTACAATGCGAAGGACAACAAAACAACAATCTACCAGTTACTAGCTTGTGTGTGTGTGCCTTCCTGTTCCTGTATCTTTCTGGCTCTCTGTCATAGAAGAAACATGTTCTACTGCTACACTGAATATTTATCGTTTAAATTCCTTCCTCCCCACTAGATACCAGACACAGTGACACCGCAGCCAAATCAGACCTTGGGGAAGGAAGGGAAGTCTTTTGCAGAGATGTTGGGAGCACCCCCACCGTACCTGACACCAAAGAGCAGAAAGCCCTGGAGAACTCAATGGCAAAGTGGATTGGCCGTTCTGGCCTGCCTGCAAGGACCGTTGAGGATGAAGACTTTGTGGATATGATGAAACAAGCTGACAAAAGGTTCAATGTGTACAGTGTGATATATGTTAAAAAGAGAACCAGAGTGTGGAGAAGTTCTATTCTGCACAGTGTTATATAAATAAAATACAGAAAAAAGAGAATCAGTGTGTGGAGAAGTTTTATTCTGTTCATTGTGATATATATGTTAAAAAGAGAAACAGTGTGTTGAGAAGTTCTAGTATTTACAGTGTTGACTAAAAAGACTAAATTTGATTTTCGTCATTGTGACTAAGACTAAATTGGGAAGGCAATGACTAAATGTGACTAATATTAAAATAGATTTTCGTCAGTGTGACTAAGACTAAGGCTAAATTTAAAAAAGCTGGCGAAATTAACAGAGGTCGTCCCCTGGGTTTTCTTCCTGGAGGAGATGGAGGCCAGCCTTAGATGTCTTTCAGCTTCCAATCCCACTGAATGGAGCCAGTATCTCCCGTGGGTTGAGTATGCCCACAACGCTCATGTTTCTGCTGCCACAGGACTCTCCCCTTTCGAGGCCTCTATTGGCTACCAGCCTCCCCTTTTTCCCAGCCAAGGAGGCTGCCATTGCGGTGCCTTCTGTTCAGCATCACATCCCCCGTTGCAGAACCTTCTGGAACAGAGCCATGACTGCCCTTGGTAAATCTGCTGAACAGAACCGAAGGTGGGCAGACCGCAAGAGGAGGGTCGCCCCAATGTTTTCTCCGGGCCAGAAGGTCTGGCTCTCTACCCGGGACATCCCATTAAAGGCCATGTCCAGAAAGATGTCTCCACGCTTCACTGGTCCTTATGAGGTGGAGAGGATCATTGGAGCATCTGCTGTCCGTGTTCGTCTCCCCTCCACTCTCCGGATTCACCCCACCTTCCAAGTTTCTCAAGTCAAACCCATTGTTTCCAGCCCCTTGTGCCCACCCACTAAGCCCCCTCCCCCCTTGGACATTGATGGCCACCCCGCCCACACGGTCCGCAGCATCGTTGATGCCTGTCACCATTGGCATGGGTGGCACTACTTAGTTGATTGGGAGGGGTACTGTCCTGAGGACCGCTCCTGGATCCCTGGCTCTTTCATCCTGGACCCCTCGCTCATTAGTTACTTCCGTACTTTCTCAGCCCTCCTTCTCTTCTGGACCGCCGGGTGGCGGTGTTTGAGGGGGGTACTGTTAAGAATCCAGTTTTGTGCGGTCTGCGTTGTGTTTTTGTGTTGCTCTCTCCCTCCACCACCAGGTGTGGCCCTGTTCTTGTTGGTTCTCCCATACACCTGCGGCTGGTTGGCTCATTACTAAGGACTATTTGAGCGGTGGACTGTCACTACCTCGACGCCAGAGTGTTTGCCAGTTTTGGGTACTCTAGCCAAGCTGAGTTTAGCTGAGTCTGACTGAGTCTTTGTTTTCACTGAGCCTTACCTTGTTTTTTTGGCTTTGCCTTTTCGGCAGGAAGCCTTCCTGCAAGCTGGATATTTGGCCTTCTTCCCCTGGAAGGATTGTTTGAGTCTCACACTGAGCAGGGGATTAACCTCCACAAGTTCCGTTCAAGTCCTCCTGGATTTCCAAGAGACAGCCCGCTCAATAGTTCCTCAGCATCCAACCAAGTCTAAACCTGTCCGCCCTCCAACGAGTCTTTACCTCTGGATAAACCCACACTTACTGGATTCTGCGAAGAGAGTCTTCTCCACTAATGTGAGCCCATTTTTCTCTCCAGCCATTGCTCAGTTCCGGTTCACCAGCACTCTGAGTTTCCTGAATCCAACAGTATGAATAAACCTGTTAAAACTTTTACCCTGGTTCTCTGAGTGGTTTACTGCATGTGGGTCAGATCTCTTAAGAAAATCATGACAAGTAAAGCTAGCGGATGGTTTTATTATGTGTGGCAAATGTGGAAACAATGATCTTATCCTGAATGTGACTAAAGACAATGGAATTGACTTTAGATTTTGGTGAAAAAAAAATCAAATTTTATTACCAACTCAAGAGAAGAAGTTAAGATGGTGGGGTAAAAATACCTATGTGATTGAGACTTGACTGGAAACACAATTATTAAGATGTGTACAAAAAAGAAAATAAAATAAATATACCTCGGGAAGAAGGTTGGGTCCTTCTATGTATATGCATTATGGCAGATACAGGGCCTTCTTAAAAAATTTGGGTTTTCTTGAGCTGTATGCCAAAATCATCCGTATTAAGACAATAAAAGACCTGAAATATTTCAGTTAGTGTGCAATGAATCTAAAATATGTTAATGTTTAAGTTTTATCATTACATTATGGAAAATAATTAACTTTATCACAATATGCTCATATTTTGAGAAGGACCTGTATGTCCAGCAGCATCAAAGCAAATAACTTAAAGAAGCTAAATAAGCTAATAATGTCAGGTCCTTTCCAGGAAATTCTCTAGGAAGATGATTTTACAACTTCTTAAAATGAAAACCAACAATCCTCTATATGCAGTATATCCACTTTAGAAGCTTCAGTTTTCCAGATCTGCTGTTGAACGGACCACTACAGGAGATCCCTCCTGCCAACCACTATTAACATTTTGTTGAACAAATCATATAATATTCACAAAATGTAATTTCCTTTGGGATCAATAAGGTATTTATGGTCTAAATTAAAAGAACACTCAGCTTTTGCATGGCTTGGTGGTCTCATGGTTTTGTTCAAGTTTTATTTCTAAGTTTTCATTGGTCTTATTTGTCATTCTGTTGTCTAGGTATTTTTGATTGTATTTGTGTCCTTAGATATTTCCTGCTTGCCTTTTTGTGTCAGTCTCCTTTCCCTAGCTCCCTTCTTGCCTCTCTCCACACCTGCTCCCAATCTGCTAATCAGCATGGTCTTTGTTTCTCTCTCCTCCTGCTCAGTCACTCTTTGCTGGTTTGTTGTCATTACTTTGACCCCTTCTTGTTGGGAGTATTCTTGGTTTTTAGCATTTTTGGTATTGCATGGATTTTTGCTTCTGTTACCCTTTTTATTATTGAACATTCAAGTAACCACCTCAAGCTTTTGTCTGCATTTGTGTCCTGTCAAACCACCTTCTCTGTGACAGGTGGGAGTTTGAAGAGAATGACCAAATAGTCAAGGGTCTCCCAAAAACGGAGTGAAAAATCAGGATTCTAGGGGCCTTTGATTGGCAGCAGCCCAGAGAGGACGTTTATAAAATTATAATAGTGGAAAAAATGATTTGACACACATTTATTGTATTTAGAATGTATTGGATACACTTTTAAAACAATGTAGATATAGCCCTTTTGTCACGGTCTTGCTGTTTGCTTATTTCTTTTCATAACAGCTTTATCATTTCATACATTCCTGCTCTTCTTTTAAGCTCTCTAAGGGCTCAAATTAAAGCTCAAGATTTTAACTTTGAATATGAAGCTACAAAGAAAGCTAAGGTTACAATCTGAAAAAAAAATTTGGAAAAAAAAAAAGTTTTAATACTGAACAGTTACAGACTAGCACTAGATACTTCCTGACTGACAGCCTTTTAAGTTAAAAACTGAAACCAGATGATTCAATGACAGACTTAATAAGATTCAAGATGGCATAAACCATGGATATGAAGTCATGAAGATAAAAAATTATTAATCTAATTAAAAAAGATTCAACAAAAAACCCACAGGACATGAGTAAAAATTTCAAAATCTTTATTAAGCTAAAGATTAAAAATGCCCATTGGAGCACAAAAGCTGCCCAGCAACTCCCAAAACAAATTTACTTCTACCAGACACATTAAAGCTCCAGTGTGTAACTTTCAGCGACATCTAGCGTTCAGACTGCAGACTGCAGCAACATGAACAT